GGAACAGGGGTGAAGGCAGCACAGCCACCAGGGAGAGGGGGCAGGGTTGAAGCAGGGGCAGTACCCCCAGTGGATGGGGTTTCTCTCCTCCCATCCCCTACACCCCACCTTCCACCCCCAGGGAGCCTAACCAAGGCAAAAATAGCTTATATGAAGAACCTGGTGTCTTTTTGCTCCATGAGCCTCCAACCTGGTTTGGCAGAGGAGAGGTATCACAGCAAAGCAAGGCTTTGAAGACATTTTTTGATGTTTATCCCAGGGAGTCCCATTACACTGTACTGTACAGTAAGCCGCATTAGAGCGGCTGTAAAGAGCGAGAGTAGCATTTGCATGTTTTTTTGTTCTGTTTTCCTTTTCTTTTTTTTTTTACTTTGACCTTCATTTAGCAACAGATCATCCTTAGTATTTGTGGCATTGTCATGTGGAAGGTGCAGTGGATTTGAAGTAATTGGCATTTCCAAGACTTCTGCCTGGCTGCAGGGACAGGGGTGAAGGCAACACAGTCCCTGGGGAGCAGAGGAGAGCCCTGGCCAGCCCCCAGAGAGCCCGCAGCCCTGGCCATGCTCCAGCAAGCCCTGAACACTGAGCTGCCAGATACCCATGTAAATTCCAGAAGAACTGTGATCACAAGCGGTTGATTGAAATTTTCCCATGGCTGTTTCTGGCAGCATGGAGGCTGGCTGGCCAGGTTGCAAGTCACTGACTGATCCAGGAGTAGGGGCTACAGGTGTGGGGGTGTGGGGAACAAGGCAGGGGGCCGTACTGAATTTCCCTACCCCAGACTGCTTAGTGGAGTGGCAGAGTCTGCAGCTTTCCCTTCTATCCCACCACCCATGGCCGGATGGGGACACATTTCTCCCCCAGTCCTTGGCCCATACCAGCAATCGCCCATCTCCCCACCTGCCCAGAGACCCCAGGGAGTGGAAGAGTCCCTGAGGTTGGGGCCTCTCCCTCCATAGCCACCTGTGGCCAGTGGGGACACATTTTCCCGCCAGCCCCTGGCCCATTCTGGCAACAGCTCAGTATCGACTTTAGTTTGTTGAAAGTTTGGATCCAGATTTGCTTTCAAGCTGTCCAAATAAGGTGTTGTCTTTTAGGTATTCTATCATCTTTTTTTAGGTGAGCAGGCACTTCTACTTTATTGTGGAGAGCCATAAGGCATAGAGATCACTGCCTCTTAATAATATGCATTATTTTAATTTATTAAAAGCTGTCCCATTCACTTCTCTCAGCTGTCAATTTATAAAGTGAAAACAAAACATAATTCCAAGGTTATTTTAATATGACTCTCTTAGTCCCACCCTTGTTCCCTCATATCTTTCTGTCACAATATCTGACCCCCTAAATATAATTTGGTTTGCAATATAAGAAGATATTTTATTGGGCTCTGTTTTAGAATGCTTATTATTTCTGCAATCCCCGAGTACTTTGGAATTTGCAAGCCTTTATGAACATTTACTGGATTACTTGTGACAACCTCCAGATAGAGCATATGATTATTTCAAGAGTTTTTGATTGCCTTTCCTCTGATCTATTCTTTGTAAACTGAGCTCTTGAGGATCTGAAGTATTTACGAAGTCAAAACACTTAACTTCAGCATTAATTACCTTCTGATCTTTTTCTTTCAAAGTCAAACTAGAAAACTCTCCAGAGAGCCATAAGAAATAACAGGGCCAAAATGTAATTGTGATCTTATATCAGTGGTAGCGCAAGAAAAATATGAGCTTAGAAAAATGAATTTCTAATGTATTGCTGTTGGACATAGCAGTTGACTTCCTGTATTCTGCTTTGGAAAAGTCCTCTTTTGAAGGCTGTCCCTTTTCCTCAAAAGTATGAGTTAGGTTAGTTAGAATACTGAAGGTACTAGTCCCAGTTCTGCTGTAAAGAAAGAAATATCCCAAAAGATATTAGAGGTTTTTAGAGGTACAGGGCGTGTCTACACAAGAGGTTTACTGTGGAGCTGACTGATTAGCTCCACAGTAAATGCTGGCACAGGGTAATATGGCTAAGCACAAGTAGTACTCTGCAGTGGCATTGTTTTGTGCATTGCAGTGTATGTGTAGAGGGTAACAGGGCTGGCTGGGGCATGAGGGTACTTCAGCACAAGGGCTGCCTGCTGGCTAGCCCCACACTGGAGCACCTTCGTGCCCCACCCAGCCCCTCTGCAACATGTTAAACCAGGTCAGAGCAACCCCGGGCTGTCAGGCTACTTCAGAGGCTGCTGCAGAGCAGCCCAAGAACCCCTGCCAGCCCAGGGCTTCTCTGACTGGGCTCCATGTACAGCAGGGAGGGGCTGGGGGCTGGTTGAGGCATGAGGGTGCTTTAGCACAGGGGCTGCACCTTTGTACCTCCACCAGCCCACTGCTGCACATGGAACCTGGTTGGAGCAGCCCTGGGCTGGAGGGCTGACCCCCTGGTTCCCCTGCCAGCTGAAGCTGCTCCAACAGGCCTTCATGCGCTGAGCACAAATAAATTCCAGAGCAAGCTCCAGAGTTTATTTGTGCACATTGATTGCATATGTAGATATGCCCATAGTTAGCTACACAACTGTTATCAAGTACAAGCAGGGGTTTCCAAGCTAAAGGAGTGCATAATGAATTGGACAATTCCAATACTTGAAACACCTACTTCTTTTCTCCTTCATGTTAAGGAAAGTTTAAAAGAAGGCATGGGAAAAGGACAGAAAGAACTAAGGAGTAACAAGAAATGGTAAAAGTACAGCATGTCATTTTACTTTGGCACTATCCATTCTGAGAAGGATGTAAATCATCAGTAACCTCATTTGACTCCAGTGGAGTTATGTTGGTTTTCATCAACTGATGATCTTGTCTAGGTTTTTTTTTAATTTATTAAGAAAGAACATTTGTAGTTCACTGCTTATAGGCAGACTGTACCTCTTTGCTACTGAAACTAGTAGTGAATGTACAGAGACTTTGAAAAATGTTTGCTTTTCCAGCTTGCTGCACTCTGTTACTAGTTTTTAATAAATTGCTAGTTTTATGTATGCATAAAAGGGATTAAAATCTATCACATTTATTTCCCAGTCTCATATTTACATAAAAGAAAGACATTCCTTTTTTTTCTTAGTACTTACAATCAATAGTACAACATACTACAGGAATATACTTTCTTTCCTGTACAGCCTTTGTTTTCCTTTTATGCTAGTTGCACCTTTTCGTGTAGAAAGCCAATAATCAGCAGGTTTCTCTGAATACAGGTCCTTGGTGTCATTGTGACAACTGTTATATTGGTGTTACATTTCTTCATCCTCCATGTGGGGAATCAGAGGATGGTGCCAGGCTTATCTCTATGAAAGCATTAAGCTATTTATAGACTCCAGGGTTGTTGTGTAGAATAGATGGTTTTTCAGGTCTATGCAAGGGAATTGATTTTACTTTTCTAACTAGCTGATTTAAAGCTCTAACTGAATGACAAAGCATAGGAAGAATAAAAAGAAAGGCACAGCTCTAAATTAGCATTTGTTTTTGTCTTGCAGGTAATGGGACATTAATAGGGGCATCTGCAAATGTCGTGTGTGCAGGGATTGCAGAACAGCATGGCTATGGCTTCTCATTCATGGAATTTTTCAGGTATTTATTTAGATATATTCTGTTACATTTTTGTTCACTACTTTTTTCCTTCCACAATTTTGTCTGGAAGCCTGTGCAGAGATGGCATTAATCAAATGAATTCAATTAACATGTAAAAACATTGGAAGAGATTAGATAACTATTATATGGACCTACTGCAGTAAATCAAGTGTTGTCTATTATTGGAATTAGCCAGAAATCTCAAAAATAGGTCAATGGAGTTTCCAGATCTAAACCAGGTATATGAAAGTGGAACTTCCCAAGGAATAGAAAATCCCAAGGTAAGATTTTTGAAAGTAGACTGGCTTTCAGTTTGCCATAGGATTTTGGTTGTACTGTTCCTGTAGATTTGTACCTGCGCACTTCTGGAAAGTTTTGGCATTAAGCCAATGAAGTACATTGATGGGTGATGGATTTATATCAGTATAAAAGTGGTGTAAATGCAGAATAATGTCAACTGCATTTACTTTCAACTGTGTCATTGCCAGAAAGAAAAATGAATTACGGGCTAGGTCAATTGTTCACCATTTATTGTCTGTGGACAATTTGCTGATCACATGATGGTGGTTTCCTTTACCTATTTCAGACAAAGCTAAACAATTTATTTCCAACAAAGTTCAAATACATGTTAGATCAGACCTCCAGTCAGTATAAACTGGTGTCAGTGCAGCTACAATGAAGTCAACAGAGATATTTAGGTTTAAACCAGAAAAACTGTGGTTCAAAAACTAGGTGTCCTGCATATAAACAATTGGTGTAGTTGCTGGTAGGGAGATACATTATCATGAGGGGCAGTTACTCAACTGGGAGGAGAAAGATGATGTGCCTTAAGATATGGTTCATAGAATAAAAAAGTGTTGAGAGTCCATGAATTAAAACAAATGATACCAAATTAAAGTTATTTTAGGGGAAAATGGACTAGCTAGCTTTTTGATGGAGGTTAGTGGAGGGTAGTCATAGAGATCTTCTGGAGTAAAAAAGCAGGAAAATAGCACATTAATCAAAAATTATTTTGGTGACACATGATGTAGAAAGTTGTATTAAAATGGGGTTAGATGAAAGAAGACGATGGAACTCATCTGGTTTAGCAGAGAACTCTTTGGTGAGCTTAAACCAGCAGAGGGCAATGAAAATAGTTTGGGGGCTGGGTCACCTAATCTATGAGGTGAGGCTGAAGGAACTGGGTTTATTTAGTCTGCAGAAGAGACGGCTGAAAGGGAATTTGATAGCAGGCTTTAACTACCTGAAGGATGGTTCCAATGAGGATGGAGTTGGATAGTTTTCAGTGGTGAGAGATGACAGAACAAAGAGCAATGGTCTTAAATTGCAGCAAGGGAGGTTTAGGTTGGATACTAGGAAAAAATTCTCAGTGTGAGGGAGATGAAGCACTGGAACAGATTACCCAGAGAGGGGGTGGAAACTCCATCCTTGGAGGTTTTTAAGACCCAGCTAGACAATGCCCTGGCTGGGATGATCTAACTGGGGCTGGTCCTGCTTTGAGCAGGGGGTTAGACTAGATGACCTCCTGAGGTCCCGTCCAACCCTCATTTTCTATGATTCTAACTCATGGATGAAATAATCTTGGCATTTTCTACTGTACCGTTTTTGTCTTCAACCATCTGCGGATATTAAAAGAAGTATTTTAGTTGTTTATTGTTAAAATATTTTAGAATTACAAATTCTAATATTATTTGCATATTATCATGAACAATCTTTGCATCACTGGGTCCAACTATGAGACTTGGGCTCCTACCAATTCATACCTTACTCTGTGAACAGTATTGTTTAAATGCATTCAAAATTGCTGATAGATCCAGGTTCTCCTTTCTCTGAGCAAGGACCTTGTTGTCTTACTTTTTTGGTTAAAAAACAAAACAACATTCTAGTAAAACCCTTTATTTCATAAGACTTTGAGCAACCCTGTACTTGATTTAAGAAGGGCAGGGACATCTAATTGACTGAAAATGGGCTTGGTGCATTTTGCTGTTGTACATATCTTCTGGCCGATCTGGTTTTTATAGCTAGGGATTGATGGAAACTGTGACTGAAAAGCAAGCCCGGTTAAAGAATGAGTTGCAGTTTATTTAGCATACAACACCCTGCTCAATTTACTTGCATATTTAGAGCACATACTACAAGTAACTTCTTCCCATAATTTTTGTCCTTCCCCCATCCCCCTTCTATTTTCTTTTTTCTGTTTCCTAACTCCTCTTGCTTTCCCTTCTGTTTTACCTGTGAAGCCCTTCAACCCCTTGCCGTATTTGGAACTGAATCAATAGAAACTTCAGCAAGAGGTGACTTGAGCTGGTCTTGCTTACATTCCTGACAGATTCCTAAACAAACACTGCTTATACCTGAATTCAACCTTAGCTGCCATATTTGAACCAAACATCCCTAATCCTTGCTGACCCTATGTTCAGAAGGATATAACACAGATCAAATCTGGCTGCTAGTTTTCCATTTCTCCATCTTTTAGGCTATATACACTCTTCTGCTTTTGGAGTAGTGTGCAATGATTACTGATAGACTTCTCAGAGATTACAATCAAGTGCATTTACAAAACGTGAAAATCGTGGGCTTATTTTTTAATTTCTCTGCACATGTTTACAGACATTCAGATGATGGTTGTAGTATTTAACGTGCATTTAGCCATTTCCTATTATAATGAATAACTTTGCTTCTCTGTTGATTTTATCCCAAAGCATTCTGAAAGCTCCTGTGACTGTGAAAACAAGGGCTTATAAAACTTAGCTGTTTTCTCAAGCAGTGTTAGTTAGATTTGTCTTTCATTGCAGGGGATAGGAGATGGGCATAGAGGCCTTGGTACTACCATTCTCACTCATGTTTTCAGTGTGACTGCTCAAAGACAAAGGTGCTGTTCATTGTGAATAAGGGTAGCAGGACTGAATCCCATGTGGTCCCAGACAGATGGGGCAATGATTAGCAGGAAGGACACATCCTTCCCTTCTGTTCTCCCTCTGCCCTCCAGCAGTTCATCAGCTTTCTTCTTTTCTCATGGGGAATATTTGTGCCAATTAAATTTATTAAATAAATAGTGTACTATGATTTCTGCTGGCATTGTGAGGTTTTCTGTGTACTTTGCTTTTATTTGATAATATATTTTGAGATAGTGGCACAAAATGATTTACACATTGTTAAGTGTGACTTGGAGTAAATTACTAGATTTGGATAAAGTAATAATTCTTCCTTTTATGTGGTTAGATTAATTTGGCTTAATTCATTTCCCATTTACTTTTCATATTAGCATTCTGTTTTATTTCTAAGTTTCAGGCATGAAAAAACCCAGAAATGCTAAATCTTACAATTATTTCCAGCACAAAAATTTAGTTAATATCTGAATATCTATTCTAACTTTTGGTTGCTTAACTGAATGAAAAGTTGGCATATCTCACAGAAAGCAGGCCCTTGTCAAAAAGAATCCATTTAATTCATCTCAAATTTTCATGTAAAACTGTTGTGATGGAAACTTTCCTATGAATTCTAGTGAGTATAACATTTCAGATGTGAATAGACAGTCTCAAGCCTAGTAAGGAATCCTTTTTCTCTATGCAGAATAAATAGGCTGCAGATATTGTCAGGGATGTACCAAGAGCTTACTCACTACTAGCCTTTAGAGGACGAAGTGATACTTTAAATCCAAAGTGATTTCAGTGGAAGTACTTTGGATTTACACTGGTATAACTGTGAGTGGAACTGGCTCAAAGTGTTTTGTCAGAACAAAAGAAGCAGCAAGACTGTCTCTTAGGACAAATTAATTCCTGGCTAAAAGCTCTAAGTTCTTTCCTCTTTCTGTGTTTCTCAATGCTATTTGTCATGGCAATCCCTTGATTTGAAGATGATCTCTACCATGGCTCACTGATAGGTCTTTAGATGACTTAAGAGCCCAAACCTTGAGCCATAGATCTATCCAAAGAAGTTGCAGGTCCTTCTTCAGGGGAGAGTAGGCCATAGGCTAGGGTTTCTCTCCTTTTCCTTCCTCCACTCTCTCGTCTCTGCTTTGAGAGCAAGATGCTTTACCTAGAAATGAGCTGCCACTTGGCTGAGGATGTAGAACCATTGGAGTTGGTCAACATCCTGCTTCTCCCAGCTCTTGATATCAGCATCTGTTTTCTTGAGGTATGCCTTCAATGTGTCCTTGTAGCATTTCCTTTGGCTGTGGTAGGATCTCGGGCTATTACTAAGCTGGGAGCAGAGCACTTGTTTTAGGAGCTGGGAGTCAGGCATCAGCAGACAACATTCAGTTCAGTGAAACTGATGCTTGAGGATCAGTGACTCAATGCTGGTGACATTGGCTTCAACAAGGATGCTGGTGTTTGTGCAGCAATCTTCCCATTTGATGTGTATGCTTTTCCAGAGGCATCATTGGTGATATCTTTCCAGGCACTTGAGATGATGATGGTAGGTCACCCATGTTTCATATCTGTAGAGGAGAGTGAGGATGATGACTTAATTGTAGACCTTGGTATTTCCAGACATCGCAGTGAATAAAGACATGCTGAAGCAATTTCCCAGAGGAGGCACATTTAAAAAAATGAAGAACAGAGGTGGGGCAATGACATATATCCTTGCTTGACCTCAGTTCAGATGACAAATGGATCTGTCTCCAATGCAGTATATAGGATGGTTGCAGTCATCAGGTCATCTGGTCTAGTAGCCTTGTTATTCTTGGTTTCCTTGATGGCACACTAGACTTCTTCTAGGATAGAAGGGTTAGTGAGGGATCCCCTTTTAGGTGTTGGGGGATGGACTCAATGATGGTGTTTGCCACAGTTGACTTATGGTTCAGAAATGCCTCAAAGTCCTCCCTCCATCCATCTTGGATAGATTCATTCTCTTTGAGAAGCGTTGAGCCATCTTGTGATCACAGGGAAATAGGACCATGAGAAGTTGGGCTGTAGATGGCTTTCATTGCCTAGAAAAAGGTGCGCATGTCAAGTTTGTCAGCATAGAGCTGGATCTCCTTGGCTTTATCTTGGCAT